AGGTTCAATTCCTAGCACCCACATAGAGACATCACATGTCTGTAATGCCCTCTTCTGATGTCTGTGGGCATTGCACAAGGGTACACTTACATACATGCAGGAAATATACTCATACACATAAAATAAAAGTAATAAAATATTTAAAAACAAAACACGAGCTTTCTGCAAACAATTCAAGTACAAAGGAGGCCTGTGGTCTGGGAGGTCTGCAGCAAAACTTGTTTGGATTAACTGGAAAACATATCACTATCCTCAGGTATGGGGACCCAGTCTGGAGAAACAAGCTCCAAAAAGAACCCTGAAAACTTAATTCAAGCAAGGGCTTCATTCTGTTTCCCCAGAAACCCTTACACCACTGCTGGCAGCAAACTGAGTTGATGTAGTTGTTTAAGAATGCTGCACAGTGAGGCATATAGACATAGAAATGCTCCCCCGCCCCTGGCTCCTGTGTGTCCTCCCCTTTCTGGACACCAGATGTGACTAGCCAGGAAGGCATCAGCTGAGTTAGTCAGAAAAAGGGCAGCACAGCCCACTCCCAGGCCTGCAAATCCACTGGAAGCTAAGTATGGCAGCTCTTGATAAGGCTGACACCTGGGTGAGAAGCTCTTCCCTTCTCTTCCTATCCCAGGCGGCTCCTGGGCAGTAAGGCAAAATCAACACGAAGCCCATGGCACAAGTGGGCAGGGCAGCTGTGATCACCAGCCAGACCCTCAGTCCTGATTGACTGAGGGTTACCTGTATTTGACATGTAAATATTGGGCCTCAAATCACTCACCCACTCAGGTTTCATAATATCCAAGGGTATCCCAATTATGCAAGAACTCTTGTGAAATTCTTAAACTAAGTTTTTCTTTTTCAAAAAGCCTGTGGTACATCTTAGGAGATAGACAGCTTGTCAATACTGTCAAGCAGATGACAGGAGGTCATCCCTGCCCCCGAACATGTTAAGCAAACTTATCATTCCTTTTCATCCCAAGAAGGCCGGATACACTGGGAAATCACTCAGATTTAGTGACACAGTTTAGCAAAAATGTGTCCAAAAGGCTGGGAACTAAATCATGATCCATAACCATGAAGATGGGAAAGAATAAAACAAAATCCCACCGTTTTTTTCTTTTTTTAAAGGTTGAATTACAAAATGGAAGGAAAAGAATGCAGGTACAGATATAGAGTATCAGTTAAGCTTCGACTCTAGTACAGTGAGCTATTCACCAAAAGGAGTTCTCAGCCTGAGCTGGGTGTGGCAGCACACACCTGTAATCCCAGCACTCAGGAGGCCGAGGTAGGTGGCTTACCAGGAGTTCAAGGCTAGCCTGGTCTATATAGGGAGTTTCAGGTCAGCCTAGACTACAGAGTAAGACCCTGTATCAGTACAGGGGTAGGGCTGATGGAATTTTGGGTGTCAGGAGAGACTACCACCCCCACCAGAGACAGATGGCTTCAGGAGCATTAGTAGCAAGATGGCCTCTGCTTGTGCGCTTAGCAAGGTCCCCATCTGCTACTATAGGCACACCTTTCAGGGTGGCTGGGGTGAGGGTTGTAGTCAGTGTCAGCCTCAACTACTACCCTAACCCTAACCAGCCTCCTGAGCACCAAGTCATCATACTATAAGCTCCAGCTCCCTGAGCCCAAGGCTGTGGCTTGCCCAGAGACACACAGCTCAGTAGTGATAGGTTCCCATCTGCAGCTGCCAATCTAGGAGCCCCTTTCCAACACTGTTCTTCCACAGTGATGTGGCAGAGTCCGACCGTGGGTGAACCCGACATCAGCAAAGTCATTGACTCTGGGGAGATCCACGAACGTGAGAGGCCCTTCAGCCTGTCAGGGGCAGCTTCTTAAGGGCACAGGAGGGGAAAAAAACAAAAGCAAGTTTATACTCCCAGGGAAACATAATCTGTGATTATAAATATTTCATGAGCAAAGAAAGCTGTAGTGACTGCGGGTGTGTGCAGGGGGAGGCAGCAAATGAGATCTCCGTTTGCAAAGTGATAGGACAGTTGGAAGGGCAGCAAGGTTTGGGCTATTCTGGGCAGTGTGTTCCAAGAGCCTTCGTCACGGGCCCTGGCCACTCGGCTGTGTTGAAACCACAGGTTTCCAGTGGTCAGCACAGAACACCTTGGGAGGAGTGCTTAAGTCCACAGGGACACAGAGGGGACAGCAAGGACAGTCACTCAAAGGACTCTGATGAACCTCACTGCAAGGAGGCAGGTGAGGGGGTGCAGGAGAGCAGCCAGCATCCTGAAAGCACATGGCTAAGGGCAGAGGAAGGGGAGGGCTCAACTCCAAGAAAGCAAGTGACCAGAGAAGACTGTAAGGTAGTCCAGGCCCAGCTGCCCTGGAGGAGCAAAGGTCTAAGCAGAGAGAGGAGCAGGCTGTGTCAGGCTGAAGATAATTCCTCCTTTTCTTTGCCCCAGGCCAGGGTCTCTGCCTCCCCAGCCAGGTGGCCTTCCCGAGGTAGCAGACAGCACACTAAATCCCAGCTGCCGAGGCTGCAAATTCATACTGGCAGAACAGGATGGTGCTGCTGAGTGCTCCTCTACAGCTGGTCCACCCCTGCAGCCCAGAATGGCATCCACACTGCACCAGCCCCTCCGAAGGCCAGATGGGGGTAAGGAGTGAACTCCCCAAATACCCAGAGTCCCTTGAAGCAAGCTTAAGTTAGCCCTAGGAGCTAAGCACCCTGGGGCTAGAAGACACTAGCTATGTGAGCCTCTGCCTCCACATCCAGGAAGGCTGAAGCCTCCTGAGATGTGCTGAGAGAACCAGAATGCAGCCTGTAGTCACAGCTGGTAGGAGTCAACACTCATCAATAGCAACAATGAAAGCCAGGGATACCATGGGAAGATCCTGAATTGGAAATCATTGGATCTGGCTTTCCCATGTGACTTCTGAAACTCTGTCCTGGCCTGAAAAATAAGACTACTAGGCATTTCACAAATCCTGTGAATCATCAAGAATATGCACACACCTGAATGTCTTCAAAAGTACACTGCGACTATAAGACTATTTATACCCAGATACCTGCTTAGCATCTCAAAACCACAACCACTCACCTACCCACTACCACATCCCCCCCAGACCCTCAGACCTCTCCAATAGCATCCTAGCTCAGTGTTTAGCCTGATCAGCCATGCTAGAAGTAGAACCTAGAAATCCTGGACCCATCTTTGATCTTCCCCACCATATTAGCCCACTGCCAAGTCCAGTCACCTGCCCCTCAAGGCATCTACTTCCAACTCAACCCTAGTCCACAGTAGCATCTTGCACAAGAACTGCACATTCTGGCCTCCTCCAGACCACCTTGAGTAAAACCAACCTCCTCTCCACCTTGGCTCTTTGCTAAATATCCTGCAAGTACATTCCAATGCCTTTGGATAAGAAAAGCCTGCTTGTAGCCAGGCATGGTAGCGCATGCCTTTAATTCCAGCACTGGGGAGGCAGAGGCAGGTGGATCTCTGTGAGTTCCAGGCCAACCTGGTCTACATAGTGAGTTCCAGGCCAGCTGGGGTTATAAAAAAAAAAAAAAGAAAGAAAGAAAAAAGAAAAGCCTACTTCCCAGGGCTTAGCCCTGGAAAGTCTCCTCTCCTGACTGGCTGTGGCTTAGATCCAGACTGTCCCCCAAAGGCTCACATGTTAAAGGCTTTGTCTCCAGCCTGAAGTACTATTGGGAACCTTTAAAAGGTGGGCCTACTGAGCCACAGTCTAGCTACTGGAGGTGTGAACATCAAAAGCATGGAGGGACTTCAGTCTCTTCCTTTTCTCACTTCCAGGCCATGAGGTAAGCAGCTTTGCTGACCCCCCCTGGCCCCATCCGTTCCCCTGCCACCATGGACTGCCTCACCACAGGCCCCAAAGCAATAGGTCAGTCCATCCAGGGCTGGGACTTCCAGAGGTGTCCAAAGTCAACCTTTTCTCATTATAGGCTGATCTGGCATTTGTTACAGTAAAGTTGACAGATACAGTCTCATCCCTCACCACACTCCTCTTCCTCTGCCATTTACACTGGCTTTTCCCTCCAGGCCCTTGTACTAACCCCAGGGCCTGTGCACTCTTTCTTCCCTCAACCTGCAACACCCCCCTACACACAAAGCTAATGCCCACTCCTTTAGAGTACGAGATCCATGAAAATGTACCCGTTCACTAATTATTCACAGCTGTGTACACCCCCATGCGGTCCAGAGGGTGTGCATTCCATGTCCAGAGAATGTCTCCTCCCCGTTCCCAGTCCCCACTCCACCCAGCCCCCCAGATAAGCCTCATTTTGGCTTCTAGCACATACCCATTTAGACTGGTGGAGGCAGCTTTCTCTGGGGTACCTTATACCCCACTGCAAGTCTAACCCTTTATCAGAAACCCTTGTTACACTCTGCTAGAGCATTTGTTGGAGGAATTACTAGACTTGTGTGGATATCCTGTGACACTGTGAGCTCCAGGACAGCCACACCTGCCTTCTCTCACCTTTGTTCCTCCAGAGCTGGTACATGCAGTCACGATAGAGGAAACAGCTAATATCTAGAGTGCTTCCTGCTGCCAGGAACTGCTCCAAATGCTCAGCCACCAGCTTTTAACCTTCACATCAATCACATCAAGTAACCACCATTATCATATCACCATTTGACAGCTGGGGACACTGAGGCAAAGAGAAGGAAACTAACCTGCCCAACATTACAAGGTGGTAAGTGGTGGCCCTGGGATTCAGACCCAGGCAGTCTGACCTCCAAGCCCAAGATTGTCACTCTCCTTGGCCTCTCAGAGGCTATCAAGACAGTTTAAAAAGTGCCCACAGTATCTTAAACCAATGAATTTGTGAGTCTATGAGATTCTATTAAAGACACTGAGGGTGCCCTCCATCCCCCAAGGAGGCCAGCCAGAGAAAATAAACTGTCATTGAGTCACCACATAGGCCCAGTGTTGTTAGCTGCCCAGGTCACTGCTGGAGTCCAGTGTTCAACTGCTTCAAAATCACTTATCTAATGACCACATCCCAGAAAGCACAGAAGAAAACATGCACTAAGACATTTATTCTGTTCCAGGACACTGTTACACAGGGAGGGAATGGCTGTGTGGCCCCGATCCCTCCCACCAGGTCTTGTTGTTGGAGCTGCTTGGCTCACTGAGTCCCTGTGGCCCAAGTGTAGCTGTGTTCACACAAAGTTCTGAGCAATAGCCAGCACCTTGGAGTACTCGCCTTCCCTCCGGCGCAGGCTGCTGGGGATAGGTATTTTAATTCGGGTCCCTATAGGGTTCCCATTGTCCTCAATGAGGACCACGTTGTTGGAGTCAAACCTGGGGGTCATCTGGGGGCCAGGCATGCGATGCCCCACGATGAGAGCCTTCTTCTTCTGACCCTTGATAGCCAGCAGGATCTGATCTCCCACCTTGCCCACCCCATTCTTGTTATAGACGTGGATGCACCGAGGAGGACGATGGTATGGAGTGTTCCCCAGGGCACTGTTGTCCACCACGCGCACCCGAGTCATCTTCTGGATTGCGCCAAGGCTCCCAGAGGTACTGGTGAGAAAGAAAAGACAGTCTAAGACCTGCATGTCTCTGGGTCTCAGGCACAGGCCTCAGAGAAGGTCAGTCAGCCACACATACAGACACACACTGCAACACAAAGTCAGGGTTTATGAAAACTAAACTGTACCCATTTCCTTGTAATTAAGAGCCTCTACGACAGGCATGCTGATGCACACTTGCAAGCCTAGCACTCAAGAGGCTGGAGGCAGGAAGATCACAAGCCTGTGGCCAGTCTGCAACAGTGAGACCCTCTCTCATAAACCAAGAGCTGGTACTGTGTGTCAAGAATGCATTTTTTCTGTGACAACAAACTTTGTGGCAGCCTTTGCTTATAGCCTATGGAGGGCTAAACGAATCTCTGTGGGCAAGCCTCCGCCCTGCCGATCCGGCAGAACCTGCTTCCCAGGGGCACTCCTTCCAGACTCTTCTCACCTGCGTGTCTGGGAGCCTGAGGACTCTGTCAGGGAGTCTCCTGACACAATGTCCAGGGAAACTGGAAACAGCCAAGATAACAGCCTTTTGATACTAGCAAGGGGGTCTTGCTTTTTTTTTGAAATGGCATGTTCTATCTTGCCCAAACAGGTCTCAAAGTCCTGAACTCAAGTCATCCTCCTGCCCCAGCCTCCAAAGATGGGAAGATGTGGCTAGAGCTTGTGGCACCCACACCACCATGCCATTGAAAAAGGGTTTTGTTTTTAGAGTGCCTGACATTCAACACCCCCACCCAATGTTGGTGTTCTCCAGTACAATCCCAGGACCTCCCAGCACCTCTTCTTTCTACATTCCCGTCACAGTCAATTAGTAAATTCCATCTCCAGGTTCATGTCTCTCCTTTGCTCTAGTCCTGTATTTTCTTCTCCAGAGCTCCACCCAACAGTCCTATATACACTGTACCCTCAAGAGGTCCCACGACCTGCAAGTCACCCCCGTCCACTGCAACTGCTGTTCCTACCCAGGGAATGGCTTTTCCAAAGACTCTCTCCCTGTACCCTGCACCCTCCCTTCCCTTTCTCCCCCCTTAGCAGCTCCAGCACCAGACCTGACAAAGCACTCAGCAAACCTCTATTTGCTCTAGTATTATTGTTTACCATATTTCTCCTCTTAAAACTTTCTTAAAATTACATTTATTGATTGCATGTGGGTGAGTGCACAATTGCCACAGTGCACATGTGGAGTCAGAGGACAACTTGGCAGGAGTTGGTTCATTCCTATTATGTGGGTCTTGGGGATCAGTAATCAGGCTTAGCTGCAAGTGCCTTTACCCACTGAGCCATATTACCAGCTCTCATCATATTTTCTTAGTGTTGGTTGCTTCAAGGTCATGTCTACCGCCTACCATGAGAACTCTTTCACACTAGAAGCAATTCTTACTCATCTATGCATGATCAGCCCTAGGCAGAGCTCAGTAAAGGTGAGTGGCATGTGGGTTCAATGGCAGGGTACTACAGGTCGGATGGGGCCCATGCTGGCTGGATGTCTAAAAGGAAAAGAGAGGGTGCATACTTCTGCCATGCTTCAGGTTTTTGCTAACAAGCATGGACTGTTTTTCTAATTAAAAGGAAGTTTTGCTGGTCTTGGTAGTATAAGAATGTAATCCTGGCTACTTGGGAGGCTGAGGCAGGAGGACAGCAAGTTCAAAGCCAGCCTGGACAACAGAGTGAGTTCAAGGTCAGCCTGGGAAACTTGGTGAGAGTATGTCTCAAAATAAAAGTAATGTAGGGATGTCATGGTATACACCTGCAATCCCAGCACCCAGGAAGCAGAAGGAAGATCACCACAGGTTTGAAGCCAGCCTGGTCTACATCACCAGTTCTGGGCCTGCCAGGGCTATATAATAAGATTCTGTCTAAAAAATAAAAATAAATAAATAAATAAAATGTAAAGAAAGGGCTGGAGACTGTTGGTTCAGTCTCCAAAACAATTTCACTATGTAGCCGTGGCTGATCTGGAACTCACTATGGAGACCAGGCTGGCCTTGAACTCAATACAGATTAGCCTCCAAAGTACTAGGATTAAAGGCGTGCATCACCACGCCCTGCCTTACATAGTAAGTTCCAAGCTATCTGGGGCTACAGGGAGACCCTGTTTCAAAACAGACAAAAAAAGAAAAAATGGGTTTCAGGTTAGTGAACTGGTTAATCAGTAGGGTTAGTGGGTAAGGTGCCTGCCACCAAGCCCAACCACCAGAATTTGGTCCTCGGGCTCTACAGAGTAGAAGAAGACCAATTCCTGAAATTGGCACATGTGCCTACACACACACACACTCTAAATAAGTAACAATTTTTTTTTTTTTGTCTTTTTGAGACAGGGTCTCCCTGTTGCTTCAGCTGGCCTGGAACTCACTATTCCAGGCTGGCCTTGAACTCAGAAAGAGAGACCTGCCTCTGCCTCCCAAATGCTGGGACTAAAGGTGTGGGTCACCACACTGGGCTAACCAACAATTTTTTTAAAGGGGATTTTAAAGCCTTGGGGAATGACAGGACCAAGAGTTGTCACTCTAAGAATTTGGCAGGGACTGAGAGCAGGAGTTCCCCCACAGGCCACTCCCTATGGCACCCCAGATGGAATCCTCACCTATTGGCCCATCTCCCCTCCCCCACCCTGACCAAAACCCAGCTCAGCTGATTCCTTTAGCTTTCCCTAAACCCATGGCACCTCTCTGAGTTTCTCTCCTGTTCTAGTCAGCACAGGATTCAGCCCAATGGAGGCCTGCACAAGGGGACACTTCTTAAGAACTCAACCTGCAAAGCTACCTGAAGCCACGCTGGGTGAGCACTCTGCTGGCATGGGCCAAGGGGCCCCAGAGCCCAGGTGGGACAATCATGGGATCCCAAGATGGCAAACCTGCAGGAAAAGGGAAACAAAGATGGATTGTCAAGCACAGTCCTTACTCACAGTCAGTTTTCTTTGGGGATTTGGGGGGGAGATGGTGTACCACAAGATCATTAGTCACCAAATATAAATCTTAGTGGTTAAAAGATACACCGATGATGATTAGATAGAACTCTAGCTCCCAGTTCTGCTGAGTCACCTTTTCACTAGGGTGAGGACACTGGGCCAGCCCTCAGCAGCTCTGCTGTTACAAACCAGCACAGAGCAAGGGCTCCTCACTTCCACAGGCAGCAGAAAACACCAGTCCTCTGGTGCTCCTGAGTGGCCACTACTTCCTAAGAGGGCCACTAAACTGCCATTTCCCTTTGTTGACGCTTGGGTGCCTTCTGAAACCCACTTTAAGTTCCTAAAAGGAGGAGGATGAGCCAAGCCTGGTGGCACAGGCCTGTAATCATTAACTACTCAGGAGGCTGAGGCAGGAGAATTTCCAAGTTCAACACCAGGCTAGGCTAGGCTACAGAGTAAGTTGTAGGCTGGCCTGGGCAACTTACCAAGTCCTTTTTATTAAAAACTTTAAGACCAGGTATGGTAGCTCAAACCTATAATCCTAGCAGTTGGAAGGTTGAGGCAGGATGAGGAGTTCAAGACTTGTGCTACACAGAGAGCTCCAGGCCAGCCTGAGCCACATAGGACCCTGCCTCAAAAAAGTTTTTAAAAAGGAATTACATTTAGGGGCAGGAGAGATGGCTCAGCGGTTAAGAACACTGGTTGTTCTTGCAGAAGACCCGGGTTCGAATCCAAGCACCCACATGGCAGCTAACAACTGTCCATAACTCCAGTCCCAGGGAATCCAACAGCCTCTTCTGACCTCTGCAGGCATTGCATGCAACACAGGTGCACTTACTTACATGCAGGCAATACACGCATACACATAAAAAAATTAAATTTTTTTTAAAAAAGGAATTACATTTAAAAACAAACATGGGACTGGAGTGATGGTTTAGTAGCTGCTCTTGCAGAGAACCTGGGTTCAGTTTCCAACATCCACGTGACAGCTAACAACCATCCCGAATTCCAGTTCCAGGGTACCTGACACCCTCTTCTGGTCTGCATGGGCACTGCACATATGTGGTGTACTTACATATATGTAGGCAAAACACTCATACACACAAAGTAAAAACAAATACATCAAAACCAAAAAAAATTTTTTTAATGCTGTATTTTTATGTGTAAGGGTGTGCATGTATGCAAATGTACTTGTGTCATGCAGTGCCATCTGAGGACAGAAGAGACCATCAGATCCCCTGGAACTGGAGTTAATGAATGGTTGTCAGTCACCATGTGGGTGCTGGGATTTGAACCCTGGTCCTCTGCAAGAACAGCCAGTGCACTTAACCATTGAGCCATCATCTCTCCAGCCCCAAAACCAAAAATTGTTTAAAAACACAAAAAGGGTTTGGAATATAGTTTAGGGCAGGGTACTTACATAGACCCTAGGTTCAAATCCCAATACCAAAGGGAGAGAAAACAAAAGTAGATTACCAAAGCATCTTCCCAAGTTGCCTGCCACTACATCACCTTTCCCCCAAATGTAAATGCCAGAACACCTGTAGAGCCCAAGGTTGGCAACGAAGAGCCAAGGCCACCCTTGCCAAGATACTGACCAAAGTCTATATTTGGGTTAGTCTCCCCAACAGCACTGTAGCATGGAAAAACTCCTGCAGGCAGGACACCAGTTTACAGAACCTCAGCCCGCTGCTCCCTAGCACCCACAAACACTGAAGTCACCTGAGCACCACTAGGCATGGTGAGGAAAAGCCAGCAGGGGCTCCCAACAGCCTGCACCCAGGCTCTTGCACCTAGATGCCTGGCTGCAGAGGGCGCCACTGCTGGAGAGCCACACCTGTGCACTGGAGTATTTGCACACAGTTTTGCTTAGGGAGGCTTCAAAACACCTCAGATAAGACTTTATTTAATAAAGGTGGGAGGGATCCCCTATTGGCTTCCACAGGAATACCTGGGCATTCCATAAATACCTGTCAACTAGCACCTGGCCTCAAATCCCAGTTTATTCCCACGTGAAGAGGTCAGTTTTACTAACTAGAACTAACTAGTGGGCAAGTCATCCAACTGTTTGGCCCAGGGATGAGCTATAGAGAGCATCTAGCACAGGGCTGGGTATCCAGTGCCTGTCAGGAAACTAAGATACAGAGACATTTGGGGGTTTTTGTAGGGCCTCACCATCAGTCAAGGGCAGAAACAGAAGGCAGATGAGTCCCAGCCTGAGGTCATTCCCTTGAATCCTGCCGTCTTGCTCTGCCCTACACAGCTGCCCTCAGGCTTTGAGTTATCTGGTCCCTCCATTTTCTTTATGAACATTTGTCAGAGTGGTTACAAAACACATCGCATACGAGGCTAAATGCTTCACACTGTCATCTGTTGAAGGCTCACGAAGATTCTGTGTAGTGCTTATTATTACTGGCCCCATTGTTCTGTGAAAGGAAATGAGGCCCTGAGAGGTTAAATCACTTGGCTGAGGCAGCACAGTGAGAAGGGACAAGGCTGAAACTGGGGCCACAGTCATTGGCTTCCTGAACGCTCGCACTTACTCAAACAGGAGTAAACATGGCAGCTTTAAACATTAATGTTTCTCCAACTGTTAACTCACTCTTCCATCAAGAATACTGGCACAGCTCTGCTCCTTGCATGAGACGTGAGCTCTCAGCTTTCTGGTCCAGCCACCTCCTGCCATACCACCTACCCCATTACGGACTTTCCCTCTGGAAAATTTGTGGGGTGGGGGCCAGAGAGCTGGCTCAGCAGCTAAGAGCACTGGCTGCTCTTACAGAAGACTCAGGTTCAGTTCACAGCACCCACATGGCAGCTCACAACCATCCATAACTCCAGTTCCACAAAAATCCAACGCCCTCTTCTGGACTCTGCAGGTATTTCGTGCATGTGGTGCACTTACATACATGCAGACAAAACATTCATATACATAAAATCCAAAAAAGTTTTTTAAAAGAATACTGACATTACATGTACATTTTGTTTCTAGCCAATTTGGTGCCTGCTGAATCCCCTGAAATGTACATCAATACCTGGTGAGGATTCACTTTAACCTATCTAAGAGATTTTGGTTTGTTTTGTGGTGCCAGGGATTGAACCCGGGGACTTGAACACACTTGGCAGGCACTCCAGAGCCAAGCTACACTCCCAACGGCCAATCTAAATTCTGGAGACAATCTGTGATGTGGTAGAGGAGCTCCATGCTCTAAGCAAGAACTAAAAATGGGCACAAAACCACCATGGCTCTACAAGCAGCCAGTCTGCTCCCTCAAACCCCAGCCAAGCTGTGCCATCTGATGCTGGCAGGCCTCCAGTCTCACTCCCAGAGGACAGGGGTTCCTTAGGTAGTCAAAGATAAGTTGGGCACAGCCCACATTCCCACTCCCGAGGTCACAGCACACCTCCTGATGGGGTACCATCATAAACCCCAGCACACAAGGCCCCTTCTAATTCTGCAGGGGAGTCCACTAAGGCCTCCCCAGCACCTTGCTCACAAGTGACCCCTGAGGCCCACACCCCTCTCTGCCCACTCAAGTCTGACCTGACTCCAAAGCTGCAGCCCCTCCTACACAGGGGGACACCTCTGTATCCTGTGCGGCAGCCTGTCCTACACAGGGGTACACCTATATCCTACACTGATGCTGCAGACCCTCCTACACAAGGGGGACACACCCTTGTGATGGTGGAAATGTCTCTGAGTCAACATTCACTCTGTAGACACAGGCATGGAGTAAGCTTGGGTACTTCCTTTTTGGTGCTGGAAGCATCCAACCTAGGGCCCTGGAGGCACTCTAACAGAGCCACATCCCAGCCCTGGATTGATTTTATTGTACCGAGGATTGAATTCAGGGCCTCACAAACACTAGGTAAGCCCTCTACCACTGAACTGAAGCCCCAGCCCTCTCTTCACTTTTCGAGACAGCATCTCACAAAGTTGCCCACACAGCACTTGAACTCAAGATCCTTCTGCTTCAGCCTCCAGAGTAGCTGGGTTCACAAGCATGTGGCACCAAGTTACCAGGTCCAGCATGCAGGGAATTCTGGCTGTCCCATCCCATTCTCCTCCCTGCTACTTAGTACCCTAAACTCACAAACAAAAAGTAACCCACAGCAGTAGGGCATCTGAATGAGTCACACAAGGAGCTCCACTTCGGTGGCCCTCAAACACAGGAGTCATGCCTCCAGGGAGTACTTCCATTTTCACAAGAAAAGGCCCAATTCAATGACTTTCACTGGCTTTAATGGATCTGATACTGATAGCAACTTCAGGCCCCAAATGACAACAAAAGACATTCCTGTGGGCTTAAAGCACAAGAGTCATGTAGCGCAAGACTCACATCGTGTGTCCCTCAAAACACAACTGTTCTTCAAAGCCAGTAAAAGGCCTCAGGTCCTGAAAACAGTAGGAATGCAATAAATATTTGTTGAAGGAACTAAATGAGGCAGACTCTCACTGACACTCAAGGCTCCAGAAAAGTGCAGAACAGTCCCCCCAGTATGGGATGAGACTGAGACCAGGACCTCCCAGGCCAACTGCTCTAGGAGCCCCCACATGCCAGGATGGTGCTGGAGGTGGGTGGAGGCCAGGCTTTGTCTGCAGCTCCCTGGAACCATCTCCCAGTCTGGTGTGGATACTGCCCGCCTTGGAAAGCATTTCACCTACTACTGAATAACAGCTTCTGACAAGGGAAGAGCAACGGGACAGCAATGGACTTTAAAGAAAGTCTGATGGGTCTTGGTGTTATCCAGCGGCCTCGGGGCCTGGGGCTCAGCAGACCTGGGCTACATGAAATGCTGGGTTTCATTTAGAACCTTGAGATTGTCCAGGAGAGTCACCTCAGCATTTCCTTCTTTACAACACTCTCAGAGTAGATTCTAAGGTTCTCTGGAAAATTCCAGTGCCACAGACTGCCCTTCGTGTCACTTCCTGTTCAAGACCAAGC